AGGAGAAGGAAAAAGCATAGAACTCATAAACTCCTTAATTATAAAGATATCTGCCTACATCGTAAATTCTGTCCAGGAAGGGTCCAGTTATTTTACTTCTTTATCTCTCACACTGTGTAGGACAGGGCAAGGAACGAATGGAAACTTAATGAAGACTTATGAATTGATATGAATTGACTACTTATTAATAAGATGTTGACTAAGTATCATAACATTAATCACTCCCTACTTTTCCCCACCCTTCAGATAGAGTGTAGTTGAGGTCAGAGGGAAGGTGTGGTAGGTACAGTGAGGCTTATCAGTAGAAGGCATTTTAATGCCTGTAAAGATCTCCTCATTAAACTCTCTGACCTAAGATAATGTTTGAAAAAGTGCTGATTGCCAATAAGCCAAAGTCCTATGTTTGACTTTCAAGGAACAAGTTGGATTTCTCTCAATGAACTGTTTAGATACCGGATCTTATATTCACAAATATTTATTAAGCGCTTACTATAAGCAAGGCAATGAGTAGGCACTATGCATGGAAACATCCAAACATCCAGATGTATACAACTGAAGTGACTAAGCCTTAAAATGTCATTTCTTTTGCCTAAAAATTCCAAAGACCTTCTACGGAGAGAAAAAAAGCCATCTTGGTTACTGCAACTATCATGTCATTCTTGACCAAACACTTCCAAAGAAGCATTGTAAAAAACTCATTTTCCTGCATAGATAATAGTGTGTCTGAATTCTGGTTCTTGGTGGGAAAGCTGCTCTGTACAGTCCATCTCTGGAAGGAAAAGCCTCCTGCTCCTTCAAAAAGTCTCAATGAGGACAAAAAGCTTCTGTCTGGAGTGTGTATGTGTGCATTTGTGTGTATTGATTTTTAAATATTGTAGAACAAGATGAGTCCCAGGAAAATTCAAAACTAAAGAAGTCATATGAAAAAAGAAGAAAATTGTGATATTTGGAGAAGTTAGAAGGGAGCCAAGTCTATGTTAATCTGGTGCCTATGATGTGCTTAAACCAGGATTTTTACAGGGCTGTGGAGCCAGAAGGAGCTCGCCATTTTCCTGGTGGTCACTGGAAATTAGAGTACTTTATACCTTAGCCAGGGAACAGAAGCAGGATCCAAAGAAAGGACATTATAAATGCTTAGAGATGGAGGATATGGTATAGGCAACTGGTCCAGTGGTTCCTAAATCCTGTTGCCATCAAAAACACCTGACCGAATGTATAGCACAGGGAATTCTACTCAATGCTCTGTGGTGACCTAAATAGGAAGATAATCCAAGGAAGAGGGGATATATGTACATGTATGGCTGATTCATTTTGCTTTACAGCAGAAACTAACACAACATTGTAAAGCAACTATACTCCAATGAAAAAAATATATATATATATAAATTATATTTAAAAAAACACCTGAAACAATTATTTTGGGTTTTTTTGTTCATTTGTTTTTAATTTTTTTCTATTCTTTTTCAAATTCTTTTCCCATTTAGGTTATTACAGAATATTGAGCAGATTTCCCTGTGCTATACAGTTGGTCCTTGTTGGTTATCTGTTTTAAATATAGCAGTGTATACATGCGGACTTCAGTAGTTGTGGCATGCGGGCTCTAGAGTGCAGGCTCAGCAGTTGTGGTGCATGGGCTTAGTTGCTCTGCGGCATGTGGGATCTTCCCGGACCAGGGCTTGAACCCATGTCCCCTGCATTGGCAGGTGGATTCTTAACCACTGCGCCACCAGGGAAGTCCCTATCTTTTTTTTTTTTTTTATATTCCACATTATAAGTGATATCATATGATATTTGTCTCTGTCTGCCTGATTTACTTATCATGATAATCCCCAGGCCCATCCATGTTGCTGCAAATGGCATTGTTTCATTCTTTTTTATGGCTGAGTAATATTCCATTATATATATGGGAAAAAATAAAATAATTATTTGAAAAAAATAAAAAATAAATTCAAACTCATTAAATTCTTGATCATGTTAAAAAAAATAAAATACTTTCTCCTGTGGTAAAAACAAACACACAGAAAAACAGCTGAGGAGCTTCCTAAAAATCAAAGACTTGGGTCCCAACCACATGCCTAGATTTTCCAATGGCTAGGAAGGAGCTGGGAATCTGCTCCATCAAGCCCCCTAGGTGATTATGAAGATAAAAGATGACAAACAATGACAGATGTCAAATTGTGAGTATTTATTTTACCATAAAGTAGGGCTTTTCAGAAAGAAAGAACTCCATGACAGGTTGAAGAAGTCAACTCAGAGGAGAAGGGTATAACAGAGATTTTAGCCTCAGAAATATATTCCTATTACAGGGTCAGAAGTAACAATGTGTAGGCCCAAACCACCAGATGAGAAGTCCAGAGACCTGCATTCTTCTCTCTCCTAGGTATATGAACTCAGGGAAGTCACATGGCTACTAGCTAACTCCTTAAATAAACTAAATAGAAACACCATGTCTAAACATAGGCATAACCAACATATTTAAATAAAGCAGTCTGAGTCTTAGTTTTCTCATCTATAAAATGGGAGCACTCATATGAATCCCCTAAAGACTAATTTTCTCATTGCAAAAGTAGAATTGAAAGAAGTTCTTTTTCCTCTTAATTAAAAAGGAAAAAATAAAAACAAGCAACTTTGCCTTGCTCCTGTCTTCCAGAGATGCTATGGGGAAGAAAGTGGAGGCTCTCTACTTAGAGAGAGAGTTTGTGTTACATTTTCTCAACATTCTGGGTCAACTCATTTTACATTAAAGTGGGAAAAGAGTGAATGTTATGGGTTGAATTGTGTTCCCCAAAAAGATATGTTGAGGTCCTAACTTCCAGTACCTGTGAATGTGACCTAATTTGAAAATGGGGCATTTGATTTAATCGTTAGGATGAGGTCAGTCAGGTGGGCCATAACCCAATATGACTGGTGTCCTTATAAGAAGAGAGAAATTTGGACACAGACATGCACAGAGAGGAGAATGTCCTATCAAGACATTGACATGGAAGGAGAAAACCATGTGATGACAGAATCAGAGATTGGAATGTTGCAGCTGCAAGCCTGGGAGCACCAAGGATTGACAGCCACGACCAGACACTAGGAAGAAGCAAGGACTGAATTCTACCCAGACTCTCAAGAGAGCATGGCCCTGATGACACCTTGATATCAGTCTTTTAGCTATTTCTGTTGTTTTGAGCCTCCCAGCACTTTGTATTGTCAGCCCTAGGAAACTAATGCAGCGAGTGAAGTGCCCTATATCCTCAACACAGCCATGTCTCTTCTCAACCTATCAGAGAAGAAAGAGAACTTCCATCCATCTTGGCAGACACAATAGCAGTGATACAGTTTGGGGGCATGTCCTGATGCTGAGAGAGATACCCATCAACCATCAACCCTTCCCTGAGTATAGTCCCAACATATGGAGTGGCATCACAATGAGGGTAACCAGGCAAGCCAAAGATGGGCTGGCAGTGACAGCATAGCTCTCCAATCTTTTAAAAGCAAAACTAATGGAACACAGTGTTAAAACCTGTAGCACCCATTCATTTCAAATTTGGTATTAGTACCTAAAAGGCACTTAGCTTTGTATTTAAGGCCCATAAGCTTCACATACTTTATGGGACAGTTTGGTGACTAAAAGTTCATTACAAAGTAGCATTTGCTTGGGAAAACCAGGGCCTCATGAAGGAATTTGTGCCAGAACACCTTCCTGAAATATTGCCCTGCAGTGTTGTCATGAAGATGAACTATTAAAATAGTGGGTTTGTAAACCAAAATCATTACCTCAACATAGGTATTGCTGATGGTTTCTTATCAACATAGTCTTGCATAATAAAAAGAAGGTTTTTTATTCCCATTAGTTCACTGGTGGAAATTAAATCATAGGGCCAAGAAAAGCAATATATATTGTCACTGTCAGATGTGCAAATAGAGCATATGAAGAACTATCTCCATTAACTTGCTGTCTGCCCAGAGAACTAGGCCTTTCGTCTGACATCCATCCCCTACAGGTTAATTGGGGAGGCTGCTTGTTTAAAGAGCCTAGCAATTATTCTGAGGAACTGACTAGCCAAATCTATTCCAGTTGATTATGAGTGAAAATACAGAGCTTAAACTCTTCTCTGAAAACAAAAAAAGCATGTTTTGAAGGTGGGAGGAAGGAAATCTGAATTCTGCCCAACGCTTGATGCTGACATTTAATACTGTCAAGAATATTAAATTGTCTGATTCAAACTGCTTTTTTAAGCCATATATTACAAATAGGTGAGCTAGGCACTCAATACAATGCAGTTTCTGTACTAGCCAGGGAATTCAATGATTCTGAAACATTCTAGGCTCGTGGTCTATTTCACTGTCCCTGTAGAATCTCCTGATTAAGTGAGGAAGCCCAGGAATACAGGCATGAAAAGAAGACTTCATTTTTAGTTGTTGCCTTTGGCAAAAGTTCTCTGCCTAGATGGAGGGAATTTATTCTAAAAAATCGGAATTTTCTTTTCTGCCACATAAAGAAGTAAAAATAGCAATGGCCTCGTAAATTATCATTCCTCAGTGTCGGGATGTCTAGTTCTGGAGCCGATTGTTAGGTGAGGGCTGTTACAAAGTCACTCTGAAGGCAAGAGTCCCCTGCCTATTTCCTAACACTAAAATGACAACTGGGAACAGATGAAGAGGCCTTTGGGCAAAAACATTTTTCCACGAACAGGTACAAGTTTCAGAGAAGGTCAGAGATGACATAGACTTTCTCATCATTATCATACACCTCCCTTCCACCAGCAAAATTCTCAGTGTCAAGAGTACTCACACGCCTCTTGTACCATTCCTAAAGGATGTCAGACTCTTATGAGCTCCACACGTGTAAATGCTGGGGCCGCTTTCTCCCTACTCCGCGAAGCCACCTTGCTGGTGAGTCTGCTGCAAGAGGCTCAGAATGGGTCAGGATTGGTGATTTGGTGTTGTCACAGCCACCCTATCTCCACATTTTGCTCTAATTGACCTAAATTCAGAGAAATTCAAGAGTTCGACACACTGGATCTTGGCATCCCCACTGTTGCCTTTATTCTGATCTTAATGGTTCCCTTGCATGCTGGGCTGAATTCTAATATGGCCCCCCAGGATTTCCTTCTCTGTTCCACAGGACCGTGAATATGATGGGATATCATGTCCATGCTTATGCTGCTTTACATGGAAAAAAAAGGGGGGGACTTCACAGTGCAATTAAGTTTAGGGAAGTTACCTTGAAATAGGGAGATTGTTCCAATGGTCCTATTCCAATCACGTGGGCCCTTTCAAAGCAGAGAGTTGTATCCAGTTGGTAGCAGAAGAAGCAAGAGAGATTCAAAGGGTGAGAGGGATTTAATATGAGGGAAGTTCTCCATTGCTGAGTGGAGGGGATCCCAGGCCAGGCACCTGTAAAAGACACAGGGATATAGTGGTGAGCCCAACAGGTAAGATCTCACAGTTTATGTACTAGTGTGATCCTTCCTTACATGCTAGAGTCATTCCATAAGATATGTTGATTTATTGCAGTTTTGAAGTTATCTCAAGACTTTGAGTCATAATAACATTACCCCCAAAATGTATGGAAATGTGATCAACATTATTCTTGCATCAAAGAACAGCAAGCACTGCCTTTTACATCTGATAGCTAAGATCTAATATTTCTTTTGCAAGAGAAAAGAACAAAAGTAGTAACTTTTATGTGGCAATGAAGTGCTTATATTATACCTCAGTGAGTTAATAAAAACAATCACTTTGTTTCAGAGATTTGGGTAATTAATCCACAAAGAGAAAGCAAGGCTGTGGCCGAGGCTGGGAGTACTCTGGAAGTACGTGAACAATTTGCTGTTTAGATCTCAGACTAGCTATGCCTTCTGATTAAACAGGAAAAAAAAAAAAAATCCCTTAACCTTCCATTGGAAGCAAGCCCTGACTCTCCCTGGAGACCATTTTGTAACTCAAATGAACTCATTCAAGAGAACCACTGAATTTACCTCAATGGCAGTTTATCATAGAGGGTGTCAAGGCTGAATAGCGTAATTGCATGAAATGCCTGTCTGTATTGGACCAATCCAAATCCATGAGTTTTGTAAGGGGGAGCCCTTCACTGAGGCCTTGGCCTGACATCATCAATATCACTGTTTACAGCTTGTGCTGCAAAGAGGTAAATAAAAAGTGAAGCTAAAAAAAAAAAAAAAAAAAAAAAAGCTAAAAAAAAAAAAAAAAAAAAATGAAGCTAAAAAGAAAACAGAGTCTTCATTGAGTTCCCTCCTATTTACCAGTAATCACACTGAGTGTTTTTTTGGATTGGCAAAACTGAGCTCTACATATTTATATTGGTAACATTTTCCAGTAGGTTCTACCAAAAGGTATCTGAGCACCTTGTGTTGTGAAATTCAGGGAAATGGAAAACATTAAAACAAATAAGCCTTGTCTCCCAGTACAGCCTCTGGAAAAGAAATTCTACCTTTCCAAGGGCATCAGCCTAAATGAGGCCTCAGTTCTTAAATTCTTTAATCAGTTGCCATAGAAACCAGGAGACTGTGGTAAGTGCCTCCAGTTAGCAAGGTAATACAGTGATAGCTTTAATCACCTGTTACTGTCCAAATACACACTTGAGTGAAGGTGGAATTGGTATTATTCATTGTGACTGATGTCCTGCATTTTCAGATCTTTGGCACTTAAATAAAATAAAAAGCCTTATCTCCTACAAGAGAAGGAAAAAGGAAGGAATGCTGGGTACACTGGGATTAGGAGTTATTGTTTATTAGCCACTGGTGATTTATCTCAGCTGTAAAGCACTCAGAAAAAGTGAAATATAATCCTGTTCAACAAATTATGTATTGAATTCCTACTATGTGCAAGGCATTCGTGAAAACCAGTAACAGATTATATTTACTCTTATTTCTGGAGAGCACCAGGAAGTTTCCAAAATAAAATGATACACACCATGATCTAAATATGAAAATGGTGAGAGAAAAATGTTCTTTCATTTATTTAATTTTACCAGAGGAAGACAGATATTGAGTGTATAGGTAAACAAAGGAATCATCACGTTGTAAAATCAAATCTTTGAGACCTCCAAAACATTTTATCATGCACTCAAAGTTACACATATAACTAAAAGTAAAGGTCATAGTTGTGGGTTCTGAAATCAGTCCCTAATTCCATCTGCAAGGAGATTTCACTCTGAACTAGCATGTCTAAATGAAGGCTCTGTTAGTTTTCAAAATTCTCACCTGTGTGTCCCTCTCTAGACTTATTCCAACCCTATTTGTGCCAAGATAATGATCCACTCTTCTATCAGGGCATTTAATTCTGAGCTATTAGAGTTGTTCACTTGTTGTTTGGGTTTTTTTTTTTCCTTTTTTTCTCATGTTCTTGCTCAAAGTCGATTCTTTCTATACTATATTGCATCTTTTTTTTCCCCTCTTTCCTCCCCCACTTTCCTTCTCCCTCTCTCCACCTCCCACCTAGATAGCCAGTGTTAAACATCTCCTTTCACCTTTCTCCATGTTCATATCTTGGACACATACAGGGGAGAGGTGAATCACTGTTTGTTTTACCAAAATGGTATTATATTGTATGCAAGAATTACATCTTCCTTTTCTTGCTTAACAGTGCATAATATCCATTTGAATTAGGTGATATAGGTCTACCTTACTCTTATAGTAGATTTATAATACTCTATGTTTTGAATATACCACAGTTTATTTACTCATTCCTCTATTAATAGTTATTCACTTTGCTTTTCAGTATTGTGCCTCTCCAAACAGAGCTTCAATAAACATCCTTAGAGACTAGGAATTTTACTTCTATGGCACAGAATCACAGGAATGAAATTGCTGAGTCAAACGGTATGTGTATTTTTTACTTAAAAAGTATTGCCAGAGTGCTTTCTGAAAAGTGCATTCTACCAATCATACATGAGAATATCCTCTTCCCCAGATTCCCACCTATCGTAGGTGTAATATTCCTTTAAAACTTTTCAAACTGATGTGTAAAATGTTGTTTCTTTTAAGTTTTTACTAGCATTTTCCTGACTGGTAAAAAAAAAAATTAAATTTTGTTTATTGCCCATCTGGACTTGTTCCTCTATGAACCATCCATTCAAATCCTTTGTCCATTTTCCTTGGGTGTGTTTTGTCTTATGGTTATCAATGTACAAACTCTTGTTTTATATTTCAGATAATAGCACTTTAACTGTCATCTGTGTTGCAAATATTTTTTCAACTACTGATTTTTACATATCACCACATACATTTTCTTGTCCTATTTTTTACATGTTGTGATTTAATTTATCTAAAATTTATATGATAAAAAATGAGGGTCAAATTTTATTTTCTCTCAGGTGGAGAGTCAGTTTTACCAACACCATTTATGAATTAAACTATTTCCTTTTCCCATTGAATTAAAATACAATGTCTTTTTTTCCTGCCCCGATCAGTTTGTAATTTCTATGCTAGTAACTGCTCATTTAGATTATGGTAGCTTTATGGAATGCTTTATCATCTCTTATGCTTAATCCCCCCTTACTATTCTTGTTTTCTTAATTTTATTAGCTATTCTAAATACTTATTATTTAATATGAATTTTAAATCATCTTGTCAAATTCTCCCCCAAAAATGCCCTTATTGGCTTTGTACTGAATTTACATATTAATTTTGGGAGCATGGGTGTTTTTACCATTTTAACTCTTCTCATCCAAAAATATGGCATATTGATCCATTTGTTCAGAGAATTTTATCTCTTTACATAACAATTTATGGTTTTTTCTACCATATAGGTCCTATATCTTTTTTGATGAATTCATTCCTAAGTATTTCATAGATTGTCACTATAGTAAAGGTAATATTTTTAAAATTTTCATTGCTAGGTAAGTGAAATTCTGAAACTATTGCTTTTTTCATATCTGTCTTATCTCATCAATTCTGAAACACACATTTTAACATCTCTGAAAATGAGATGTACCCTATAATAATATCTTAATTATAATTGGCAACTTTTTTCCTTCTTGGGAGTATATAAAGTAATGGGATATCTTAAGATCCATGGCATTTTAGATTTTTTGAAATATGATATACCAATCAATTTACCACATTTTCTTCTTCTATTTGATATTACTGGAATTTCTTAAGTTTTCTAAATACATAATATCTCCAAGGAGATATAATTTTATCTCTTTTTTTACAAATTTATACCAATTATTTCATTTTTTGTTGAGGGTAAATATTGGTGTGTTGTTTTTATGTTTTGGAGTGGTTAGCATGAACAATTTTACTTTCTTGCTGTTGGCTTTTTAGAGGTTTTAATTACAGGTAAGTAATTTCTTTTCCTATTTCACATAGAGTTTTTATTGGGTATGTCTGACAAATATTAACAACTGCCTTCTAATAAAGTTTACCTTTATTAGTAAAAATCACATGATTTTTCTCCTTCAGCATATAAAATTACACTACTAATTTTCATGATTTTGAACCATTCTTGCATTTTGGGATTAATTCTACTCAGTAATAGTGTATTATCGTTTGTATTTTTTTGTTACAATGCTATGTTCAGTTTGATTATATTTTCATTTGAGTTTTTTTGCTATTGTATTTACAAGATGGTTGGATTGCATTGCTTTATCTGTACTGTCTTTAGCAGGTGTTAAGATTAAGCTGGTTTTGTGAACTGTGGGAAGATTTACATCTTTTCCTATGATTTAGAATAGTTTAAATACTTGGATGGATGATTTCTAAGGATTTGATTAAAATACTTAACCACAAAGGCATCTAGTCCTATTAACTTCTTTAATGGCTTCTTTTTATTCATCTTTCCAGTATTTTCTAAAGCATTTAGTATACTAAAGTTTGTATACTTTCAGATCAATTTTAGTGATTTATATTTGTTATAACATCTATTTCCTCTGAGTTATCAAATGTGTTACCACACATTTTCTTAGGTCTTTTAGTCTCTTCCACAGCTGTAGTTATGACTCCTTTCTCCTTTCTAATCTTTCATATCTTGCTCCTTCTCTGTTTTTCTTTTTTTTTTTTTTTTTCGCGGTACGCGGGCCTCTCACTGTTGTGGCCTCTCCCGCTGCGGAGCACAGGCTCCGGACGCGCAGGCTCAGTGGCCATGGCTCACGGGCCCAGCCACTCTGCGGTATGTGGGATCTTCCCGGACCGGGGCACGAAACCGTGTCCCCTGCATCGGCAGGCGGACTCTCAACCACTGCGCCACCAGGGAAGCCCCTCTGTTTTTCTTTAATCAGGCTTACGATAGATTTATCTGTTTTATTAATCTGTTTAAATAGCCACATTCCATGTTTATTTAACCTTTCTAGCTTTTTTGTTTATTTTCTATTTTCTATTTATTAATATATTCTGGTTTATTTTGTGTAAATTTTAATTTCTTAGGATAACTACAAGGTACCTTCATTTTTAATCATCGGTTAATAATGATGCCACTTAAAGCTATAAATTTCATCTGAGTATAGCTTCTTCTATGTTCCATAAATTTTGAGTTCTGTGTCCCATTTTTACTGCCTTAGGGATAGTTTGTAATTTCTGTTCTTATTTTTTTTTGATCCAAGAGTTATTAAGAAACGTTTCTTAATGTCCAAATTTATTGTATAGCTATCAGGGAACATGAATTGTAAAGTCTGCACCTTGGGTTTTTTGGTTTTTTTTTTAGGTGAAAGTTTTTGTTTTTCTTTTTTTTTTAACATCTTTATTGGGATATAATTGCTTTACAATGGTGTGTTAGTTTCTGCTTTATAACAAAGTGAATCAGTTATACATATACATATGTTCCAATATCTCTTCCCTCTTGCGTCTCCCTCCCCCCCCACCCTCCCTATCCCACCCCTCCAGGCAGTCACAAAGCACCAGGCCGATATCCCTGTGCCATGTGGCTGCTTCCCACTAGCTATCTACCTTACGTTTGTTGGTGTATATATGTCTATGCCTCTCTCTCGCCCTGTCACAGCTCACCCTTCCCCCTCCCCATATCCTCAAGTCTCTTCTCCCGTAGGTCTGTGTCTTTATTCCTGTCTTACCCCTAGGTTCTTCATGACATTTTTTTTCCTTAAATTCCATATATATGCGTTAGCATACGGTATTTGTCTTTCTCTTTCTGACTTCACTCTGTATGACAGACTCTAGGTCTATCCACCTCATTACAAATAGTTCAATTTCGTTTCTTTTTATGGCTGAGTAATATTCCATTGTATATATGTGCCACATCTTCTTTATCCATTCATCCAATGATGGGCACTTAGGTTGTTTCCATCACCGGGCTATTGTAAATAGAGCTGCAATAAACGTTTTGGTACATGACTCTTTTTGAATTTTGGTTTTCTCAGGGTATATGCCCAGTAGTGGGATTGCTGGGTCATATGGTAGTTCTATTTGTAGTTTTTTAAGGAACCTCCATACTGTTCTCCATAGTGGCTGAACCAATTCACATTCCCACCAGCAGTGCAAGAGTGTTCCCTTTTCTCCATACCCTCTCCAGCATTTATTGTTTCTAGATTTTGTGATGATGGCCATTCTGACCGGTGTGAGATGATATCTCATTGTAGTTTTGATTTGCATTTCTCTAATGATTAATGATGTTGAGCATTCTTTCATGTGTTTGTTGGCAGTCTGTATATCTTCTTTGGAGAAATGTCTATTTAGGTCTTCTGCCCATTTTTGGATTGGGTTGTTTGTTTTTTTGTTATTGAGCTGCATGAGCTGCTTATAAATTTTGGAAATTAATCCTTTGTCAGTTGCTTCATTTGCAAATATTTTCTCCCATTCTGAGGGTTGTCTTTTGGTCTTGTTTATGGTTTCCTTTGCTGTGCAAAAGCTTTGAAGTTTCATTAGGTCCCATTTGTTTATTTTTGTTTTTATTTCCATTTCTCTAGGAGGTGGGTCAAAAAGGACCTTGCTGTGATTTATGTCATAGAGTGTTCTGCCTATGTCTTCCTCTAAGAGTTTGATAGTTTCTGGCCTTACATTTAGGTCTTTAATCCATTTTGAGCTTATTTTTGTGTATGGTGTTAGGGAGTGATCTAATCTCATACTTTTACATGTACCTGTCCAGTTTTCCCAGCACCACTTATTGAAGAGGCTGTCCTTTCTCCACTGTACATTCCTGCCTCCTTTATCAAAGATAAGGTGACCATATGTGCGTGGGTTTATCTCTGGGCTTTCTGTCCTGTTCCATTGATCTATCTTTCTGTTTTTGTGCCAGGACCATACTGTTTTGATTACTGTAGCTTTGTAGTATAGTCTGAAGTCAGGGAGCCTGATTCCTCCAGCTCTGTTTTTCGTTCTCAAGATTGCTTTGGCTATTCAGGGTCTTTTGTGTTTCCATACAAATTGTGAAATTTTTTGTTCTAGTTCTGTGAAAAATGCCAGTGGTAGTTTGATAGGGATTGCATTGAATCTATAGATTGCTTTGGGTAGTAGAGTCATTTTCACAATGTTGATTCTTCCAATCCAAGAACATGGTATATCTCTCCATCTATTTGTATCCTCTTTAATTTCTTTCATCAGTGTCTTATAATTTTCTGCATACAGGTCTTTTGTCTCCTTAGGTAGGTTTATTCCTAGATATTTTATTCTTTTTGTTGCAATGGTAAATGGGAGTGTTTTCTTGATTTCACTTTCAGATTTTTTTCATCATTAGTGTATAGGAATGCCAGATGCACCTTGGGTTTTAAGCTTTCGTTTTGGCCAGCCACATGATCAATATCTGTAAATATTCCAGGGACATTTAAAAAAATTATACAATATTTAAAGGATGTAAGATTCTGTCTTGGACTATTAATAGATCTTGTTACTTATATTACTCATTTCTTCTACATTATTGCTTTTGTTTACTTGATTTAATTTTGAATATGTATGTTAAAACCTCCCACGCTTTTACTTGATAGTTTTTGCTTTATTTAGTAGCTATGCTGTTTGGTGCCTTCAAGTAAAAAAAACAAAAATGCAACTGAATAAAAATATATTCTCTGGTTTTGGAGATTTCAAAAGAGGTTCTGGTCACTGTTTGACCAATATCCAGGGCTTATATTCACCCACAGAAAATATTCTACTAAGCATTGCAAGCAAGTTCAGCTGTATACTCCCTTCTATCAGAGCAATATAAGAAGTTTGACAAGAATGTCCTTATCTGTCAGATTATTTTACAGTTACCTATGCTCTGGTGAATCAGTGTGTTTAATGGTTAAGACTGTGGGCTCTTAAGTCAGACTGCCTGGTTTCTAAAGTCTGGTCCTGTCACATAAATTACTTAACTTTGTTCAGCTCCATTTTCATGCCTGATAAATGGGAGATAATGCAGTGTACCTGATAGCATTCTTGTAACAATCCAGTGAAGGTATCCATAGGAAACTTGGAGTCAGGCATGTAGTATACACTCAATAAATGTATACACACAATAAAAATTACCTGTTGTATTATACTAAATTCTTAAAGCTCTCCTAAGACCATGTGTGTAAATATTCTTTGAAAAGACCATGAAATTACATACAAATGTAAATCAGCAATGGTATTATTAAAACAAACAAGAGCAATGCAAGTGCTTGCAAAATATAATTGTTATGTTAATATAATATAATTATGTTATATATAATTATAGATAATAAAATTATATGAAATTATGTACAATAAAAACAATACCAAAAATTAAGTGCAAGTCCTTCGAGGACAGGACTGTGCTCCATCCCACAGCAATAGATCCATAGTTCAAAGAAAAGAGCTGGGAACACTCTAGAATAAAGCAAAATTTTTTTTTAATTTTCTGTGATTAAGTACTGTTCTCAATGAAGTCTTGCTGAACTAAACAGAATCAAGATTCTAACTTATTATCTCATGTCTCTCTCTGCTACAAAAGGATGCCTCTAAAATGTCTTATAAAAACACTTTTAAAAATATCACTGGAGTAGTATAAGTCAAGATTTATCATCCACAAGCTAAAACACACACACACACACACACACACACACACACACACACACACACAAAACAGTAAATCAAAAACCATGAAACCTGACACACTTTGGAAGACATTTAAAACCCTCTGCCTCCATTTCCTAATATAAAGAAGAGGTTTTTTTTTTTTTAAATATGAGAATGTCTCCATTTCCTTGGCACTTTGAATCCCTATGAGTCAATAACTTTTGCAGCATTATGCAAATTGGTCTAAAAAGAGAAAAAAGTTGGGGGGGAGTTACATCTCCTGCCTTGTATGAGTTTAAATCCTAGCTTCAGATTCCTGGCACACACTTAAAAACTTTTGTAAACCAACATGTAACGAGTACAATCTAACATAATGCAAATTGAGTACCTGAACACTGAGGGGAAGAAAATTGAAGAAGCTATTAGCATGAGAGAAAATTAGCCACTGATCATCTGAGCTCCCTAACACGAGTAGCTTTAAGACTCTGGAATGCTTACAGATCACCAGCAGAGCTTGTTAAAATGAGGATTTCAAGCTCCAGCTCCAGAGATTCTGATTCAATAGGTCTGTGAGGGGACCTAAGTATTAGAAGTTTTATTAGACTCATAATCAGAGGAAGGACATAATGTCTCTTTTTTTTTTCCTCTGGAAAATGAAACAACATAATGTTTAACATGTAAAGATATGGCATGGTCCTACTTCACCTTGATCTCCTCACCAGACAAATGGGGAGGAGGAGGAGAGATGGTTCCTGAAGACTCTTCTAGCTCTGTGATGCATGTTTGTAAAATTCCAGTCCACATGCATCACACAGACATTTCTTAATTGTACCAAAGATCTGCACTACCTAGATTTTCAACCTAGATTTTTACCATGGATAAGTTCTCATTTTATGGTATGGTAACCCATCATTACTAACACCATTAAAAATTGTGTCATCATCACAAATAGATTAAAAATCTACCAGCCAACCAGGAACTATTTGCAAACAATAAGACATTGAAAGTCAATATAATTAATATAGAGAAATTATTTCGGAAAAGCATTAACACTAATAAAAAAAGAAGGGAAAAGAACTAAGACAATTTGTAGTACAAGAAAAACAACTGGCTCAAAACGCCTATGTAAAAATTCAAATTCTCTAATATTTAAAGAAAAGCAAGTTAAAACAACAAGGATTTCAATTAGCAAATTTTTTTAATGATAATAACTCTACTTAAGGATATTATGAAAAATGGACACTCTTATATAGTCTTGGTGTTGATTTTTTAATTTTTCTGAAAAGTGGTTTGTAATACATATCTAGAACCTTTAAAAATTTAGACTGTTTTAGTAATTCTTGTCTAGGAGCAAATGCTAAGGAAATAGTAAGCAATTCAAATAAGTATGGGTAAAAAATGCTCGTTGTAGAGTGATCATAAGAACAGTAAGTTAGAAACAATCTACACATAAAAATGAGGTTATTGCATAAATTATGGTTTTCATATTGTTGAAATAGTATATAGCCATTAAATTATGTTTGTTTTTGAAGAACATTAAATAGGAGAAAATGTTCAATATAAAATATTAAGCAGGAAGAGAAGGATTAAAATTACGTATTTGGCAAAACTCCTAAATATTTATTTTTGCATAGTCTGTGTGCAAACACAACTGGAAAAATTGCATCAAAGTCTTGAGTGTTGTTTCTGTATAGTAGGATTATGGATAATCTCAATCTTTCTCCTTGTAATTTTCTATACTTTCTGAATATCCTATGATGCATCTGTGTTCCTTTCATATTGAGAACTGAAAAAATTAATACTATAGCGTATCAGAGGTTCACAGGGCAGAATCTATTCCCCAAATAAACACTTTGATTTCCAACCAATTGCAGTTGAAAAGCAATTTTTCACATGTATATATAGCTGGAACAAGGACTAAATCAAGTAAAGTTCCTATATCATTAGTAGAAATGATGCAGTCAGTGTGAAGACTTCCATGTACTGTCAATACTTACGTATTCAGGAAAATCTCAAGCCATAATTCTTTAAAGCTAATTCGTCTGTCTTAAGAACTGAGGAAAAATTGATATATGAAAATGTTGGAGGGCACCCAGAGAGAATGCAATGCCAGCTTGATTCACAAAGTTTTCTCCTGTGGCCGAGATTGTCCTGAACAACCCCTAGAAGAGGTCCACCAGGCCTCTCAGCCTCTCTCAGAGGTGAGGAGAATAAACACACCCATGATACTTAAAGCCTAGTTGGAAAATCGAGAATTGGATGAACTTGGAGTCTGCAAGGGGGAAAGACTATACTGGTTCCTAAACCCAACTATACATAGAATGACCTGTGGAACTTGTTAACTCTTGACCCCACGCCCAGAAATTGAGAAATCTGAGGCTACGTTCAGGAATGTGTATTTTGAACATATACCTCAGGTGATTCTAACGAAGTCTAAGTTCCAGGACCAGAACTTGAGAGTCACTGACCTAATACCAATGAGGCAATTTAGGCCCAAAGAGGTAAAGTTCAGTTACTTAACTAGTAACAGAGCGTCTGGATGTCTTGCTGTATATGACCTAAGTAATAACAGAAAGGAAGGGTTGCAAACAGGAATGTTCTTTCCTGAACATAAACTGTAATTAATTTGAGAGGATGCAAAGGAGGGGCAAGGGGCTATGGAGGAAGAAAACTTTCTGTTGAGTATGCTCAGTGTGGGCAGGTATCTACCTATAAATTGACCAGGGATTTGTGTGGCTCTTACAAAAATCCTGAATGTCAGAATGTTTCTTATGATAACTTAGATAACTCAGAACCCAGCTTGGAAACTAAATAGCCATATATGGTGAGACTTTTTGGCAGTTCATATTTTTCCATTATCTTTTTTTAAATATCAGCTCACCAAAAATCACTAAAAGTGTATTTGCTGTGTGATGTTACAGCTATTCAAATAAAACAAACACTGACTTTCTACCTAGCTCTTTTATCCTTGGTTGGTCTTACTAGTTGACCTTCTAAAATGGGGAGTTATTAAGAGAAGAAATCACACAACAATGTTGTATGAACTTTCATATATCCAAGCAAAGGAATACTTTCTTTTTTATACTAAGCACCTACTATGTGCCAAGCACATTTAGTTAGTTGGAATAAGTCTTGTTAAGTAGTCATTATTATTCCTCATTTTATAGATTAAGAAATAACAAGAATGAAAATAAGATTAAATATTTCATTTAAGGCCACAAAACCAGAAAGTGGCCAAGTGGAAATTTGAATCCAGGACTAACTTGTAAGCTCAGGTTCTTTCTACTTTGCCATAGTGCCTCCTTCAAAAAGAAAAATATTTTTGTCAATAGAGAATATTTGAATAAAAAAGCCAAAACGCAAATGTTACTCTATATGGTAAGTTTTTATCTGTACCTTATTAACAACTGTAATTCTTGATTCACTATATTCTTGCTCTAGAGGAGTAAAAAATATATTCTGCATCAGATTTTTTTAAATTATTATTATATAATTTATGGGGAAACATTACAGATCTAAAATCACCTTCTTGGTATTTTAGTCCTTGAGTGACAATCTAAATTGCGCACTTGTTCTTTGTAAATAGCCACTGATTACAGGATTGAAAAAGCTTGTTATATCAGAGTGGTCTAATTTTTTGAAATTTCCCTTTGGGTCACTGTATTCTCACATATGGTAAAACCTTTCTCAGAGGGTTGTGTTGAAATTACAATGGAAGTTGCAACAGTAGTCTGATCGGTTGTCAGTTTCTCTTTGGGTCCAAGAGCTAAGTGGGAAATTTCTCTCTTGAAAATCAATCTGGTTTGGAACAAGAACAGAGGAAAGTCAATGACATAGTGGTTGTAACCAAAAAAGTGTGAAATGAAGACAGTTTAGATACATGTTGTCTTATCACACTATTGCCTCTATCCAATTTAAAGAAGTGGCATGTTCTAATTAAAATTCAGGGGAATAACATGGGAACAATTGCATCTTCAAGGAGATACTTTTTTTTAAATTAATTATTTATTTTTGGCTGTGTTGGGTCTTCATTGCTGCACGTGGGCTTTCTCTAGTTGCAGCAAGCAGGGCCTACTCTTCGTTGCAGTGTGTGAGCTTCTCACTGCGGTGGCTTCTCTTGCTGTGCAGCACAGGCTCTAGGTGTGCGGGCTTCAGTAATTGTGACTTGCGGGCTCTAGAGCACAGGCTCAGTAGTTGTGGTGCACTGGCTTAGTTGCTCCGCAGCATGTGGGATCTTCCTGCACCAGGGATCGAACCTGAGTTCCCTGAATTGGCAGGCGGATTCTTAACCACTACACCACGAGAGAAGTCCCGGAGATACATTTTTTTTTTTAGAACAGGCTCTTAAGGGAACTTCTCACTTTATATTCTTTTTCATTTTTTTTTCTTTTTACATCTTTATTGGAGTATAATTACTTTACAATGGTGTGTTAGTTTCTGCTTTATAACAAAGTGAATCAGTTATACATATACGTATGTTCCCATATCCCAGAGATACATTTTTAACAGAATTATTATTTATAATTATTAGCTTTATTATCATTACCATATTCATAAAACATCTGAGTTCTAGAGAGGTTTTCAAAAGCATATTCCTTTGAAACATTGATTCACGTATTAACACCAGATTCCATAGACTTTGAACTTATCCCCAATAAGCTATTTTTTCTGGAACTAAAGACAATAAACTGAGTATACTGTGAAATATCCATAGATATGCATCCCCTGGGTGCTCCCGAGTTTTTCTAATCTTTACTAGGTCCCTGTGAAGCAGAAGCAGGGGCACTATCTTCAGTCATCAGATTAAAAAAACAAAAAGCAAAAAACGAAAGTTGGTGAGCATGTGCACTGAAGTCACGTATTAACCCAATATAGAGGGACCTCAGTTCTTAATATACAACTACAATGGGAATTCATTCCAGATCCAATAGTGTAGAGAACAGAGTATGACGATGACGTGGGAGAAGGAGTAAATACAGATGTCCCCTACCCTTCTCCCCTCTGCCTTCCCTAGTCCATATTCCCCAAAGGAGGAATGAGGGAATTCTAAAGAGCCAAAGCAGAACGAGGGAACTGTGGAGAAGGAGGTTATATTTCCTGGCTTCATGGAAAACAAAATAGGCTATGTCTTTTGCTAAGTTAGCATATAACCTCCAATGACCATTCAGATGTAATGATATCTCTAAGCAGAACTTAAGTAGGAGGTTAATAGGCCTCAGTTTTCCATCTTCAGCTATTTTCTCTATGTATTCCCATTGTTAGGAATGTATCCAATTCTATCCAAAGCTTAAATTCTCATCTTTACCCTAATGAACACAGATTTTATATCTCCAACACTAATTTTTCAGTCAAGCTTTAGTTTCATATTTATTTCCAGGAAATAAAATTCCAACAGGACACTTCTGCCAGAACATTCTGCTTTAACCCCAAGTGTCTAAAAATCAAATTAGGGCACACTCCCACCTGAATAAGCTTTCTTTATGTGCAGCTCCATTCCCCCCCCCCCCCACACACACACATTTTCCCAAAGTACTCAAAAGCTTGAACCTTAGACTCATCTTCTAATCTTTTCTATACCCCACCCCTAATAGTCAGTTACCAAGTTCTGGCATCTTTTTCTTTTATGGTCTCTAGCGTTTATCCCTACCTTGTCATTTCTTCAAATCTAGGCCTTTATCTTCATACAAAATTGCAGTCTCCAACAAATTTTTAGTAATAAGCGTTCTGATATACTAAACCCTACAATAAACTCTCTGATATACCAAAGCTAAGTTAATCTTTATAAGACCTCTAATATCATGCCATTTACTTGCTTAAAAATCTATACTCCGTCATTGTGGCCTTTCTAATCAAGTCGAAACTCCTCAGCCCAGCATTTGAGATTTTCCATTATCTGACCTCACCTTGCCTATCCAACTATATAAAACCCCATTTGAACATGATTCCTGAGTCTATACCTTCTGCCGTGGTCAGAGTTTCCCTTAATGCTTCCTTCTCTCCTCAAAGCACACCAAGTATGCTCATTCTAAGCTTCGCACTTATCCATGAACTTCTACTTGGAATGCGTGACCTTTCATTACCTAAGCGCTACAACTTTCAAGGCTCAATTCCAATGTCAACTTTTTAGTAAAGCTTTTCCTGATAACTTCTCTACAGAATAGTTATGGGCTTCTCTAAATGTCTTCAACGTGGACCATGTGAATCTGATTATAGGCCACCATGTGTTGTTTTTTTAGCTGCCTTATTTTATAAACTTGCCGCCTCCTGGATTGCAGGCAGTTGAAGGACCTTGACAAGAAGTGGTTTTGTTTGTTTAGTGGTTTCTCTAGTAAAAGTCAGAGAACGAAACAGTTACAAGACTATACATTAGGTTTGATGTTGTCTTAATTATCATAAGTTAAAATCTCTTTTTTAAATGTTAAGGGTCTTAAGAAGTCTTTAACCTCATTTCTGAGCATGAAATTTCATTGCCCCACATAAGGCTTAAGATCATTTGGTTAGAGAAGCACATGGAGACAGAGTCACAAATTCTCCCTCACATAGGTCAGTTTTGTTCAGTTCTCTGTTTACTTTACCCCTGTTCCTGGCTCAGTATTTAGTTAATGTGTGAGAGGGAATGCTGATGCACATTTGCAGTTTTATCACCGCTTTTCTAAAAACAAAGGAAAACAATGCTAGGTCAGTAGCATTTTTCTCCCATTTGAAAGTGAGTACATAAACTACATGAAGACATTTAGCAGAGAGCCTAGGAAAGATTACTGAAAGAAAAAGTGCTTAATACTCATGATTGACAAAGGAGAAAGATTGGTTTGATGTATCTGATTGTCTTAGGCTGGGTTCTCAACAGCAGTTCCTGAGACAAGGATTTACACACAAATGACATATTAAGGAAGGGCTCCAGCAGAAACTTACAGGGAGTAGAGCAAGCAAGTCCTGGAATGGGTAAATAGGGTGTTATTTTAGGCAAAGTCTCAACCTCAGTCTGATACCAGAAGGAGCTCTGGAGGTAAATTATTCACTCACCAGTCAGTCCTTGGCTACACCCTGATCTAGTGGGTCATCAAATCCCAAGCACTTCCATCCCTGTGTGCCACAAAGCCCCTCCAGTAGCCCAAGGGCAGCCTCCAGCAAACACGCAGGGCAAGAGGATGGCCAGAACTGGTAAACAGGCTCCAAAGAGATGTGGGTGGAGCACAGGCAGTATGTTTACTAGGGTGTTCCTAGTTCTGTAACAGAAATAATATAAATGCTTATTTCAAATGCTTGTATGTACATAGAAGAAAAATGTTAACAGATATAAGTCCAGTTATTAACTGTGGGCTGTGAGGTTGAAGAAAGGAAACTTTCACATTTTACTTTCTACACTTCTATATTATTAGAACTTTTACAATAAGCATTACTTCTGTAAGAGAAAAAAAAAAGCTATTAGCAAAACAAGTTTTTTTACCAAAAACTCAATGATGTATTTTGTTTGATTTAATCACATTACTGTTGTTTTTGTTGCTAGTAACTCTAGCAAAGTAATACCATCTGAATAAAAATTGATTATCTAGACTGTTAAAATGCTTAAGTCCATTCAGTAATTAACAACTTGCATTCTTACCCAGTATAAATGATATCCATGGTACGCCCAGAAAGAAAGAAGCCTTGTTAAGATTTAATTCTAGAAGGAGAGTTAACTGGTTTTGCAATCTGTGGGCACTAGGAGTTTGGTTCTAATTGTAAGATATGGTCCACTCATCTATTTATCATCATTTATATCAAAAAAAAGTTGAAGGAAAAATTTTTTAATTGCCTTTAAAAATGTATTTTAAAAGTACTTTGGAATTTTAGCCGAAAGGTAGGATCACATTTGGTTAAAGCCTTGCCTGCTTTGGTATAATTGGGTAATAGCAATTGGTCAGACCTGTGCATTAAGAATAGTAATCTGGGGAATTCCCTGGTGCTCCAGTGGTTAGAACTCTGTGCTCTTACTGCCAAGGGCCTGGGTTCAGTACCTGGCCAGAGAACTAAGATGCCACAAGCTGTGCAGCAAGGCCAAAAACAAAAACAAAACAAAAAGAAGAAGAGTAATCTGGCAGCTATATATAGTGTAAATTAGAGGAGCAAAAGAATGGTAGCAGGAAGGTCAGTTAAAATTCTACTAGAATAATCCAGGTAAGAGACAATGAAGGTGATAAATAATGGTAAAGGAGCAAGCATTTATCATGTGTGCCCTATATGCACTGGACTACTAGTGACCAAATAGTAAATGAGGACAATGATGATTTTAAAAAGTAGAAGACATTGGGCTTCCCTGGTGGCACGGTGGTTGAGAGTCCGCCTGCCGATGCAGGGGACACAGGTTCGTGCCCCGGTCCAGGAGGATCCCACATGCCGCAGAGCGGCTGGGCACGTGAGCCATGGCGGCTGAGCCTGCGCATCCGGAGCCTGTGCTCTGCAACGGGAGAGGCCACAGCAGTGAGAGGCCCGCGTACTGCAAAAAAAAAAAAAAAAAAAAAGGCTGTTAATCTTCGAGGATTACTTGCTTTTCTAATAAGAACCATAAATATTGATTTTTCTGTAAGTCTTTGCAGATGACCAGAACAACTGAGCTAATTTTATGTATTTCATCTGACGTTTCATTAATCTCCATATTCATTAATTTAACAAATAAATACCGAACATTTTTATGTGCCAAGAATGTCGCTGGGAACAACATTGAATGTGAATTAGTCCTGCCCTCAAGGAGATTACACTCTGGTGGACAGAGAAAATACATGAAAAGTAATAAATCTGATAAATATTAGAAGTTTTGGAAGAGAACATACCAAGACAGAAAGGGAACAAAAAAATAATGCAGCCAATTCTTTTTCCTAGGAATTGGAGGATAAATTAGGTCAGAGACGAAAAGCTAATAATGAAGATAATGGAGACTTAGCTTAAGGCTGCCTTCCCTTTGGTCAGCTACCAGAACTTCCAACTAGCAGTGCAATGATATGAACAAAATCAAGGGGACAGACTAGTAGAGGCTGCTTCAAATGCATCGCTTATTTCTTAAGTTCTAAAGTTCACTGTGCTTGGTAGGAAGAAATTGCAGGGCCAGAGGAGCCAAAACCCCAGGTTCTTAGACTTTTAGGATGCAGAAGGGACTGTATCATCACCCATGTGTCTACCCATTTATCATACAAGAAATTCTTGATGGACCACAATTATGTACATTCTAACTGCATCATCAGGCCTACGTCAGATTTGACCATGGCCTACAACAGAAGCCAGTAAACAGTTGATGGAACATTGCAAGTTGAATACATGTACTTATCACCATCACCACCCAAACCCATACAGAATGACAGTAAAGAAATTTTTTTTTAAGTTAAAACCAAAAAAACACAAGTACAAAGAGAAGGAAGTGAAGACAGTAGTTAAGGCTTATCAGCAAAATTTTGGAAAATGGAGTGAGAATAGATATGAGTTAGCTGACACTGCAGATCAAAGGAAAGTGTAAGTAGAAGTGCTTTTGCAGGAAAGTAGTAATGAGTAGGTCAAACCCCAGAAAAGCTCAGGAAAGGAGGTATCAATTACCACTCAGGAATCAGTAAGCTGAGAGTGAGGATGACGCATCGTACAGAACCCAAGGGAATCCAGGGAAATTTCATATTAGGAAAGATGAGATTCTCTAACCCCCTTCCTTTTATCACCTACCAGTATGCTGGCAGCCAGGATTGTACTGCCAGGGTATCATATTTTGTCTCCAGAATATAAGACTGGAGTATTCCTCTCTGCAAAGAGAAAAAAAAATACCTAAGGACACTGATATTGGACAGGTCCAATCATACTGCAGCAAAGCTCCCCACTTAACAAACACAACCCTCTCCCAAAACACACACACCAACAAACACATAGTCACAGAGCCTCTAATCAGCTCTTTATACTACTTCACTCTAAGATAGGACTATACATTCAAGGCTCAAAACCTCTAACCTGGAACACAGAAACCAAAGTAGACAAACAGAAAAAAAAAAAAAAAGGACCTGGAGGAAACAGAGATAATGCAGTGAACATGAGGAAAAACTAAAATAAATAATAACAAATAAAACTAGTCTTAATATTCTCAGAGAGATATTCCACTCATAAATTGAAAGCAGATGGATTTTTTTAATGAAGCATGAAGAGAATTATAAACCACTCTTGGAAATTAAAAATATAATTTAAAAATATTTTAAAGTCAATAGAGGTTTGGAAGATACTTTGAGGAAATCTAGAAAATAAATACCAAAGAGCAGGGAAATAGGAAAATAAGGACAAGATTAGGATAGCAATCCAGGGAATCTGACATCCAAAGAGTAGGAGTTCAAGAAAACATGACTGCAGAAAACAGAGGGGGGGCACAGGGGGGCACCTTCAAGATGGCAGAGGAGTAAGAAGGGGAGATCACCTTCCTCCCCACACATACATCAAAACTACATCTACATGTGGAACAACTCCTACAGAACACCTGCTGAACGCTGGCAGAAGACCTCAGACTTCCCCAAAGATGCCCTCAGGCGACCTACACACAGAGGCAGGGCCAAATCCAAAGCTGAATCCCAGGAGCTATGCAAGCAAAGAAGAGAAAGGGAAATCTCTCCCAGCAGCCTCCGAAGCAGTGGATTAAATCTCCAAAATCAACTTGATGTACCATGCATCTGTGGAATACCTGAATAGACAACGAATCATCCCAAAATTGAGGTCTTGGAGTTTGGGAGCAACTGTAGACTGGGGTTTCCTTTCTGCATCTAATTTGTTTCTGGTTTTATGTGTGGCAGACAGGAGTGGCAGAACATATTTAAAATGATAAAAGGGAAAAACCTACAGCCAAGATTACTCTACCCAGCAAGGATCTCATTCAGATTCAATGGAGATATTAAAAGCTTTATAGACAAGCAAAAGCTAAGAGAATTCAGCACCACCAAACCAGCTCTACAACAAATGCTAAAGGAACTTCTCTAGGCAGGAAACATAAGAGAAGGAACAGATTTACAATAACAAACCAAAAACAATTAAGAAAATGGTAATAAGAACATACTATGGATAACTACCTTAAATATAAATGGATTAAATGCTCCAACCAAAAGACATAGACTAGCTGAATGGATACAAAAACAAGACCCATACATATGCTGTCTACAAGAGACCCACATCAGACCTAGGGACACACACAGACTGAAAGTGAGGGGATGGAAAAAGATATTCCATACAAATAGAAATCAAAAGAAAGCTGGAGTAGCAATTCTCATATCAGACAAAGTAGACTTTAAAATAAACACTATTACAAGAGACAAAGAAGGACACTACGTAATGATCAAGGGATAAATCCAAGAAGATATAACAATTGTAAATATTTATGCACCCAACATAGGAGCACCTCAATATGTAAGGCAAATGCTAACAGCCATAAAAGGGGAAATCGACAGTAACACAATCATAGTAGGGGACTTTAACCACCCCACTTTCACCAATGGACATATCATCCAAAATGAAAATAAATAAACAAACACAAGCTTTAAAAAATACATTAAGCAAGATGGACTTAATTGATATTTATAGGACATTCCATCCAAAACAAGCAGGTTACACTTTCTTCTCAAGTGCTCATGGAGCATTCTCCAGGATAGATCATATCTTTAGTCACAGTTCAAGCCTTGGTAAATTTAAGAAAATTTAAATCATATCAAGTATCTTTTCTGACCACAACACTATGAGACTAGATATCAATTACAGGAAAAAATGTGTAAAACATACAAATACATGGAGACTAAACAATATACTACTAAATAACCAAGAGATCACTGAAGAAATCAAAGAGGAAATAAAAAATACCTAGAAACAAATGACAATGAAAACACGAAGACCCAAAACCTATGGGATGCAGCAAAAGCAGTTCTAAGAGGGAAGTTTATAGCAATACAATCCTACGTCAAAAAACAAGAAATACCTCAAATAAACAACCTAACCTATACCTAAAGCAATTAGAGAAAGAAGAACAACAACAACAACAAAAAAACCCAAAGTTAGCAGAAGGAAAGAAATCATAAAGATCAGATCAGAAATAAATGAAAAAGAAATGAAGTAAACAGTAGCAATGATCAATAAAGCTAAAAGCTGGTTCTTTAAGAAGATAAACAAAATTGATAAACCATTATCCTGACTCATCAAGAAAAAAAGGGAGAAGACTCGTATCAACAGAATTAGAA